GATATCTTACTCTTTATTACATATTGGCTCCATGTACTTGTTCATTTGTGCTTAATGATTTTCTGTTAAGCATAACATATTAACATATTTACTGATGAACCACTAAAGTTGTAGCCAAATGATATTTGATAGCATGCTTCCAATATGCACACAAGTCCTAAGAGTGTAGTTTAGAATCAAACACTTTTAACTAGAAGGTGAAGTAGTGATTCAAATTCTAAAATAATAATACAGTAGCCTCACCTGCATTCGCTGAAAACCCTCTCCTCAAATGCATCTGCAGACTGATGTACAAAGCAAACAAAATTCATAAATTTCAAGCATTAGATGAACAAGTATACTGTGGCAAAAAAATAACAAACCATGAAGACGCTCTGCTCTGTAACATGCCAGCCATTTGCACAGCTTCCTTAGGTCTCCCTGCCAATGACACCTACACCAAGTCACCAACTTATGAAGTTAGGTGAGTGCTTTCTAATTTTCTTTTCAATAGAAATAAAAGGAAAAGAATTTATGAGCATAAAACTGAATTGAAGAACACTAATCCCAAAAAATAAGGAACAAAGAAAGATCTTTTGTGAAATTACCATGGTGGGACTCATTGCTCTATAACTGTTATAGAAGCCCAGGGTGCTTGACTTAGTCCGTTGGGATGATTTAACAACACTCTGACTCTCACTGGATGCAAGATGAGGTTGCCTCACCCTCAAAATATCTGCAAAGCAACAGAATTTTCAGGAGATATAATTACAAATATAAATATATATATCAACAGATATTGCGGAATGGTCATGGCATATAATTTAAATAGGTCCATTTGGAACTACTGCATTCATCTACAATCCTTAATAAGTCCACAGATACCACAGAATGGTCACACCGACAAGCAAGGTACTTAATAAACATAAGACAGGAAATACTGAGTACCATATTCAGAAAGAATATATTACAAAGTTTCAGCGAACTTACCATCTCCTTTACTGGCAAAGACCCTTGTGTCACTGCCAAACCTGCGGACCAATACTGCATAATCATGCTTCACCAAATTGGAAGTGTTCTTAATCTGTAAGAACAGTCATCCTAGTTAGATATTCACGTTTTGATCACGAATAACAGTATCAATAAACAAACATCAGAAACACAGGGACACCACCACACAAGATGCCAAGCTTTCCATTCCAACAGAAGATTCAATCACGCTTTTCATTTTACTGTTGATTTCCTTAATTTAGAAACTCCGGAACACCAATCACATAAAAAATAAAATAACACAGAATGCGGCCTGAGATTCGTCTAAATCAAAATCAATAAGCCAAAAAATCCTTTCATTTAAATCTGAACTAAATTCCTCTCCGTTATTCCGTTTCCACATGGATCGAGATCAAAACAACATCTTAAAACGCATCTATCACGAGAAAATTGACTAAAACAGAAATTGAGAAATCGAAGGTTTTTCCACTCGTTAAAGTAATACCTTTCTGGAGTGACGGAGGACCTGAGAAGCGCAAATCATAGTGAATGTTCAAGAGCTCCTCCTCCAATATAAGAAAAAAAAATCGCCGGGAAATTGAAGCGGAAAGGTGGCCGGATGGCTTTTGTACTGAGGAAATGGGCAGAGCAAATGTTAAAGCAGCCACCAATGAAGAATATTGAGTAAATTACATTACACCCCCTTAAGTCGTACACTTCTTATACTTAGCTCCCCTCACCTTGTTTTCCTTTCATTCACCCCCCCTTCTTCGTAGCATCCATAATAGTGGGAATATTTTTTATGATTTTTGAACAATTTTTTATAAGTGTGATTAGAAAATAGAATATGAGAGGGAAGAAAAAATTAAAATAAATAGAAGGGTTGTTGTCTTCCGCACGCCCTTTGCCTGCTATCTTCTTGTTTTTCTCTCTCATATTATGGACCCACAAATATGCATTTCTTGCCGGGAGAACAAAAGTGGAAAAACCAACCTTCCACATTTGTTTAAACCCCAACATCAGTTATTTCTTCTGCAAAAAATCATTTAATATCCACAGTTGTGGATGCTCTCAGTTCTTACTCTTAATTACCTCCGCCCCTCCTTATTTGAAAGAAATTTTCAAAATACTCTCAATTTCTATAGATAGTGAAAGTATACTAGGGTATTTCTTTTGTGTTTATACTATGTAAATGTAAAGAATAGAAGTCAAGACTCAAGAATATGTATTTTACTGATTTATTAATAAAGTAGACTTTGTAAATATGTAATAAGCTTATAAGTAATGAGATTTAGATGATTTAAAAGGTAGGATAGAGCAGTTGTTTATATTGTATCAAAGTTGACAATATTATAATGATACTTTGTAAGTGGGTTGACGTGACATTCTCTAATTAGTTGTTAGAATTAGGGATGGCAATGGGTCGAGTGTGGGTCGGGGAGGGCTACATCCATCACCCGACCCACCTTATATTTTCTCCACCCACCCCCACCTCCAACCCGCATCGGATGGACTTTTTCAGAACCCACCCCACCCCCACCGGGTGCGGGTGCGCACTACGGGTACCCACCACTTATCATCTTATTATGTTTTTCAAAAAATAATATTTAAATTATTTACACATAATAAAAAAAATAAAATCCATTAGTGATACTAAAACATAAATAATGGAAATATTTAAATATAATAACTAAATTGTTAATTTTTAAAAATAAACTTAGTAGTTTTGATATAAAAAATAGTAAAAAGATACACGAAGTTATATAAACTTTTATAAATAACTACATACTACTACTAGTATTTATTTTACTATTTTATATATATATATATACACACACACACATGGTGGGTCGGGTGGGATTCTAGGCGGGTCTTGTATATAGAACCCGAATCCAACCTGACCCACCGCGGATTTGCTTTTTTAAGGCCCACCCCCGACCCACCACCCACCATCACCCAAAAAAATCCGATCCATGCGGGATGGATTCGGGTGGATATCCACGGGTCGGATTGAAATTGCCATCCCTAGTTAGAATCTATTAATTTTACTGCATGATACTACTTTAAAATAGTTATTATGCCCATTTATTAATGCTAGATGTGTAGATTAACTATTTGACTATTGTAAGCTAAATTGAATTGACTAGCATATTTTATGACCAATTGAGTTTGGGTCTAATATTTAAGCATGATAGTTTAGATTTATTGTTCAAGCTAGATGTGTAGATTAACTATTTGACTATTGTAAGCTAAATTGAATTGACTAGCATATTTTATGACCAATTGAGTTTGGGTCTAATATTTAAGCATGATAGTTTAGATTTATTGTTCAAGTTATTGGGATGCTTACATATAGTTAGGCAATAACAATTTCGTTTAACATAGACCATGTGATTTAATAATTAACCGATCTCAATGCATGCAATCATGCATCATGTTGAGATGTTTATTTTTATAAAGTACTTACTATCTTTTTTTTTTATTTATTAAAACAGTTATAAATTTATATTTATCAGTTATAGTTATTAATTAATTTTAAAAACAACATCGGCCATCCATGTGCAGCAGAGCGACATGTTAGGGCCTCCAATTTTTGGAGGTCCAATTTTATTTTTTTAAAATATTTATATATAATTCATTATTTTTATACTTGATAATTATATTTTTAAAATTTATAGATTAGTGAAAATATTTTTTTTTAAATAATTAACATTGAAATTTTAGTGAATAATTTTATATTTAAATGTTTACAAAAAATGTCACTTTTAAATTAAATTTTGAATTACATTTATTTCTTTGTTAATTTTTGATGTATTATATTTGGACAAATTTTTTAATATATATATATATATATATATATATATATTTTTTTTTTTTTTTTGTTTTTTTTTTGTTGTTGTTATAGGATACAATAACTTGAAGTCCAAGCACATATCGGAAGGAGCTGTGTTGAAGTCTTGAAGACTTGAACGAAATGGAGTATTGGAGTAGGGGGGTATGTGAAATTAAAACAAGCGGAGGGGGTTAACTGTCAAAGAAGTGATACTTAAGAGAGCTTGTGTTGTTTCCTGAAGAATATTAGGCGGATAGTAGGAATTGGAATGTTCAGCGCTGTGCAAGGCTAGTTTATAATAATAATAATAATAATAAGTCAACAAAATCGTGCGCATCAACCAGCCAGCCAGCACTTCAAGCCGTCTCTAAGCATATTTTTGTCTTTCATCTACAAAAAAAAAAAAAAAAAAAAAAAAAAAAAAAAAAAAATCATAAATTTCACTTTTAACCATCAACTAATTTCACTTTTAACCATCAACTATTATGATATTCCCATATTTAGTTAACCATTAACTCTTAGAACATCCTTATCAGTGGGAATATTTAGTGGGAAAAATATAAGAATGATTAGGAAAGAGAATGTGGGAGTGGAGGAAAAAAAAAAAACAAACAAAAACAAAAATTGATTTAAAAAAAAAAATAAAATGAAAAGGTAATGGGTCAGGCGCGCCCGAGTGGACCATTTCGTTTCCCTCACGCATCTCACTGCCTGATCTTTCTTTTTTTTTTTTAATAAATCTGACATTATTTTCTCATTTGCAGGAGAACTCTTTTTTCATTATCTCTTCCCCACATCAAGTATGCTCCTTGGCTTGAGAGATTTCATTTTATGAAAAAACTTGGAAAAAGACAATATAGTGGATGCTCTTATGCTATAGCGTATAGGCTGTTGACTTTTGCTCTGTGGGTTTCATTGGACAGGTGTATCTGGCAAAATGTTCTGTCTAATTTTGTCACAACACTTCATGACAAATAATTTTTGCTGTTTTTTGGGCATTCACAATGGCCAGAACTAGAACATCAGGTCTGTTCTTAGAACCAAATTATTCAGGAACCCATTCTCACAAATACTGTGTAACAGAATTTGTTCAAGAATCCATCCAGATGGAACATACAATCAACTGCAAGGGGATCAATCAAAATTTATGGGGCAATATGGAGAAGATGGGGCTATGATAAAAGTTGGACACAAACTGTTAAGAGATAAAATTCTTTGACAACCTCAACAATGATACTAAACAAATGGCATGATGAACAAGGAACTCATGCATTAAAGTTCAATCTCATAGATTATGTTGCAAGGTTTATCCATTTAGGGCCTAAAGTAGACCTCATGCACGAACAAAGAAAAAGGACAACAGACATAGTCTTTAAAAACATACAAACGAGCGGACCTCACCAAAAATGATTCCTCTGGTTCTGGCAAATTCAAGTCTTTGGGCTATCTACAAGAGCACAAGCCCAAGTTCTGATGGCCGCAAAACATGCTTTACTCGATAGTTGTAAAGGTAGTAGTGGAGTTTCCCGTCACCCGGGCCAAACTTCAGTTCCTTCAAGAAAGCTTCATTGTGCATAACATCCAAGGCGTTGAACACATCAAAATCCTTTTGCTTTGCCACAATAAGAGCATCACTGATCAACTGAACCAATGGTGTTTTTGTTGAGACATTGTAATAAGAATAAGCGGCCTTAAGAGTGGAGTGGTTCTGGCTACCGAGTATTGATGATGGAAGAGTATAAAAGCTACAGAAATCAGTGATTTCATGAGTCTCGGGGCTTTCAACAAGATAGCTATCAACAACATCCTCCTTTGGGAGAAGCCAGTGCTCAACATCATTCTCATCAAAGTCAGGTGCAACAACAAACTGCTTCAAGTAATTTCTAAGCAGTCGAGTAACAGCAGGAACATCATGGGGCTCCATTTTCCTAAACCCAGGAGTGGTTGTCTGATCAGGTAACTTATACAGCTTTATTGTTCGGCTCATTGTCATCCTTGCGCCCAGCCTAGAAAACCCAACATCAATAAGCTTTTTAGGATTCAATGACCTATGCCAATATTGACAAGTTGTTACAGGCGTAGGAAGGATAACTCCAGCTGTATAAGCTGCTTGCCAAATATTCTCCAAGTGAACTCTCCTTGTGACTTCTTTGATCATAACTGGAGCAAGTCTTTTAGATCTAAGCTTCTTATGAACACACAGAAAATTGACCTCTGCCATGTTTACAATGTTATCATTAACACGTATTCTTGCAGGTATCCCAGTGATAAAAGCCACCAACTTTTTTGAGCTCTTCACCCTGACTCCAATGTGCCAACTTCGGTAGAAACCTGGAGGGCGGAGTGCCCAGCTAAGGAACTCCTTTGAATAATTGAACCTGAACATGTTTTCATCATCCTCTACATAATTGTGGGTCAGAAGATTATAAACCTCAATGCACATTTCTTCAGAGTCCATGTCACAAGTAATCCACTCATATGGGGTGGGAAGATTATAAGGCTCTTGTTTAACCTCGGATATGGGCGTTGGAGGCTCAATTGGGCCCTCATGCAGGCTTGTATCACCAAGGTCCTTGAATTGCCCCACAGGTTGGGTTTCCCAGAACTTATGCCTTTTAGCGAGAGATAGAGATTCTTGGACCTTTCGGGCTAACGAGTCAATTGATACCTCATTTTCATTTTCTGGAGGTATATTTCCCTTGGGGGTAGGATCCTGGTCCAATGCTTCTCTATTATCGTCGGTCATTTAGTCAACTCCAATTACTCTGTTAGAAAATCCCATAAAAATAACATAAGTGGAAGGCAGATGCACAGATTAAGAGAGAGATAAAAGTAGAGAATATGGGAAAAAACATGGATATCTCCAGGTTGATGGAGATGCATATGGTCATATGGACTCATCTTACACTTACAGTGATAACTGTTAAGTGAGCAAGCGTTAAGATCATGCATGTTCTCACACTCCATTTCAAATCTTTTACTTAAACTGGTGATAGGCAATATTCAATTCGAGTGTATTCCAGCTATTAATTTGAAACATTAGCCCGGGCTTACATACACGAGCCTCATATCCGAGAGAATGGGCCATAACTACTCTCACTAAATACATTGGCAAAACCATAGGCAAACATTTGCCCATACAAAACACGTTGGAAAGAGATTCATTACAGCAGCTATACAAAAAGGACAAAGAAGATGAAACTCAATTTATCTCCACCTTTTTTCCAGCAAAATCAAACATTTCCGAAGCACAACACAACAAACAAAGCAAAAGTTCTGAACTCCCTTACATAGTATAGGTAATAATCATGAGAAATTAATAGGATTTAATCATTTAGGTCCTAGCACCTGGTCAAACAAACAACTAAACTAGTAATACGATTCATCCTCGCTTACCAAAACAGAAAAAAAAAAATTAAAACAAAGAATATCAATTTATCACTGCCAAATTCAAAGCAAAGCTTAATCACTGGTATGCACATAAACTCAATAAGGCAGGAATAGAACAATAACAGTAGAACAAACTGATGAGATCTGAAGCATAATCAACGGTAATAATCGAAGAAACACACGCACCTTGAGATCTAGAGTTGTCAAGACTCACCCCACGGTTTACTCAATATATTGTACAATCATCCGCGATGGAGAAAGCGACCCGGGAGATCAATTATTAGGGCTTTTCAATGTAAGAGATAGAAAACTCATTGGAAACACCGAAGCAATGGATGGAATAAAGAAAAGAAAAGCATTGAAACACGCCAACCAAATTCTCCATGTTTAACTTTTCCTTGTTGCCATGGATCTTTTCTTTTTTTGGACTGGGCTTAGGATAGAGTTTTTTAGCCTGCTGTTCATAAAGTTCCAAAGCCCATAGGCAAATTATATGGATATGATTCAGATCTAAATTTATAAAAATGAAATCAAATTATTATTATTATTATTATTATTATTATTATTATTATTATTATTATTATTATTATTATAGTAATTGGAGATGCTCAAATGCTTTATTGTCCACAAAATGGGAAATTGTTTGTGCTAAGTATCCATAAAGAATTAAAGTTATATTGAGTAATTAAAAATTTATTTTAATTTTTTACATAATATTTTTTTATTCTCACAATTTCAATTGTGTATTAATATTATATTATTATACATACCTATATATATGACATTGGCCAATTGACTTTATTAAATAACGTATAAGATTTGCTTGATATAATATATGTGATTTGATTATACAAAATATTTTAATAAAACTCGTAATGGAATATTCTACAAAAAAAAAAAAAAAAAAAAAAAAAAAAAAAAAAAACCCTCCTGAAGTGTTTACTTGATAAAATAACATAAAAATACACACCTGACACCTGGGCACTGACTTTAATGGTTAAATAAATTTTCACTTTTCTTAGTTATTCTTGCACTAAAATGATTTAATTTTTAAAAACATTTTAAATGATCAAATCAAAGAGTTAATTTCATTATTTGTCCTAGATTTATAGGAAATAGTCCATTTTTCTTTTCAAAACATCCCCTTTGATCCTTGTAATTGTGGCAGGATCATTTTTGATATTTTGTCAACAAAATCGTTGAAATGTCATTAAATATTTTTATACAAAGCGTGTTGACCCTCTATATTTTTATTTTTTATTTTTTTTTAAATAATAATTGAATACTTAAATGCTATTATATTTTACGGAATTTAAACGGTTGTGTTGATGGAAGAACAAAAATGGTCATGCCACAATAATACTAGAACAAAATGGGGATGTTTTGAAGAAAAAAAAAACTAAAAGTGGATTATCACCTCTAAATCTATAACACCGGTTGGCACGGCTACCGGTGTTTGAAGCAGGTTAGAGGTTACTAAGAGTGCGAAACATGGTGTTGGATGATCAGACTGATGGTAAGGCACACAACTTTTTGTATCGTCCCCAGGGACGACGTCAATATTGGTTTCACAGTTAAACAGTAGCCGGTTGACGGGCCAACACAATTGTAAAACAATACTCAAATATTGGGACAACACGGAACAATATTATTGCTAGAGAATGGAAGAATCAAATCCCTTACAAATTACAATATGACCCCAAGAGGGGTATTTATACATGACCAGCAATTGGGAAAAAGGAAAGAAAAAAGTTAACAAAAACATAATTAAGAATTCTTCCTAATTTAACTTGGGATCTTGTATCCTTAGCTGCTAGATCTTTTCCTAAAATTAAGGAAGGAAATCTCACCCAAAATTTGGGGGCATCCTTTGTGTACTCTTCCAGTGCCTTGGTCTGCCATTACTGGCCACTAGTCTCCCGACTAGCTGGCGGGTACAGACCTCGGGTATCCATCACTCTTATATTATCAATTATCATAGAAACACCCACATAAGTTCATTATTCTTCTGTACTATATAAGAGACTTTATAATGAATGATGAACAAAAATTTCTATTGAGCTAACTCTACATTACTCGGGAATGGATAGAAAATATAATTTATAAAATAAATGAAATAGGTAGGAACATAGCTAAGTAGTGAAGAATGGTATCAATTGACATCACCTAAAGAATTTTATTAATTGTTCATATACATACAAATTTTGTAAAATTTCAAAATTACCACCACTAAATTTTAAAAATTGGGTCATATATAAATACCCAAATGTTGTTATGTAAAGAAATGTGTAAAATAGGAAAATTACAAAATTACAAAATCTTATTTTCCTTCCTCAATTCTTTTCGATTTATCCAAATCTCCAACTCTTTTTTCCCTTGTGAAAACTTAAATAACAAAAAATAGACTGCAAAAGAGTAGAAATTAAGAAAGCATAAGCTCAAAATTTCAAAATAATTCCCCATTTTCAAAATTGTGTCAAATATGGAATAGAGAGAAATGAACTCTCCCATTACTTTAATAAAATACTAGAACAAAAATGCCACTTCAACATCTAATTATTTATTGATTTTACTTGGTAGGTCCATTCCTATTCAATGTTTAAATCCCAAGAGCATTCTTAATAGGTTTTTGGGTGATTTTTTCAAAGCAAAAATTGAGGGGTTTGTTTTTTGCTATTGGAGGTGGACTTTTATTTATTTATTTATTTATTCTTCATCATCATCATCATCATCATCATCATCATCATCATCATCATCCTGCAAATATAACATTTTTGTGACACTCATTAAATGAGGAAAAAAAAAAGAAGAGAAAAAGCAAGAAGAGAAAAAGCGTTTGGTACACGGTTGCAATGCAACGCCAACTGGATGCGTAAATATGACTTTTTCTACTTTTTTTTGTCAATTTTTTTCTTTTGTTTTTTCTCCTTTTTCCTCCTCTCTTCTCTCTTTACACACACTCTCTCTCTCTCTCTATCCTTTTATTTATTTATTTATTTATTTTTGAACTCTTTCTATCCTACTTAACACTAAAAAAAAAAAAAACATCCAGAAAATTGAACTATTAGAGATGCTCTAATCTGTTGTAAAATTAAACAGTAGAGAGAAGAAAGGGAGGGATATTCTCATTCATCTGTATTTTTCATATTACAACAAAACATATATATAATATACATTTGTAACGGAAGGTAATAATGGTAGACATAAATGTGACCGTTATATCAGTTACATAATCAACTCATAATGTCCACATTTAATTATATTTATAACACTCCCCCTTGGACATTATAACACCACGATCTTACCTCATTAAAAACTTGCTAGGAAAACCCTGTGGGAAAAACCTAAACAAGAAAAGAGTACAAGGTATATGGATAGCATACATTCATGCCTCATTAAAAACTTCACTAGGAAAACCACGTGGGAAAAAACCTAGTTGAAGAAAAGGGTACATGATATATGTAAAAACATATATTGTATTTGGTCGCCTCATTAAAAACCTTAACTTAAGAAAACCCTGTGGGAAAAACTTAGTTAAGGGAAAAAGAGTACAACCATAAGCCTTCAGGGCGCAAATTGCATAATCTTCAGGATTTTGGGGTTTGTCGACTGAAGCAATTATTTTGTAACATTTTCCCATTTACATTATTATTTCATACTCATGTCTCGTTAAAAACCACACTAGAAAAACCCAGTGGGAGAAAACTAGTGAGGAAAAGAGTACATGATATTTATGTATTTATGCGTTGCAAATAGTGCGCAACTGTTAGTCTTTTATGACTTAATCTTCAGGATTTTACGTTCAATCTTCCGGATTGATTCAAGTAAATGTACTTCCCGTCTCCCCCTGAAGATAACAATCTTCAAGTTCGACATGATAAAATGTATTTCAAAATTTGAAGAAATTGATTGGACAAATCTTCTGGATTGTCACTAGAGTAAAAATCTTGTACAATAATCATATAGCTCTTCTAGAGCTCATATAACATTGGTGCAACACAAGTGTTATTGCCCTCATTTTGATCATTTAGGGAAATTCATTGTAAAACCAGTTTGGACTTGGCATTGCGAGGATCAAACAAAATAGCCAGTACCCAAGTAGCCTATTAAAACTGTATCATGGTTTCTTACATAAATGTCATGTCTTTGTATCTCGAAGATACCGGAGGATATGTTAATTATTATTCAAGTACTTCATTTGTAGGGGGAGCACTAGATTTTGCTATCAATTTCATCGTAAATATGTTACAATTATGGAACTTCTGGTTCTATAATGGTGCTCCAACGATAATGAAGTAAGGGACTTCGAGTCCAAAAAGGTTCCTTATCTGCTTCAGGAGATTATTAGGCAACCTTTAGTTTGATAAAAACATGACACTTATATGCATATAGACATGTGAAAAAGCATTTTTAGATGTAGGCTGACTGGTGTATATAAAAAAACTTCAAAGAAAAACTCGATCTTCAAGTTGAGATAATACTTATAGCTTTCACAAGCTTTTTATTTCAAAAGTCTCAGTCTTTAAACATGAGCTGACATTATCAAGCTCTTTATATATATACCATTGATGTTTACACCATCAATCTTGACTGAGATAATAAATAATAAATAAGTTCATTAACAACCCTTTATCGAGCACACAATGGTACATATTATTCCTTCAATGAGGATATTAACTCCATTCGCAACCCTTTAAAGAGTAAATAATGACACATAATAATACTTAAAAATCCTCATTTCGAGAATTATGAATCCATCAGGGATTTCTCAAGATAAATTTAACTGCATATCTAAATTTATTATTCTGCCAATTGTATTATGTAGCGGAACTTAATGCCATTTACCGTGGGAGAGTATATTTGATTAAAATCAATTAAGGGTCTCCGCGTGAACCCATAGGGGCTACAAACTCGCTGCATATCATATCACCTTGTTATTCTTACTTCTCTTTCATGCACACACCCATTTGTAACCTTCAGGGTTAACGCTTAATGGTGTATTGCTATATAAAGAGAATTTATTCATATTAGCGAGTCGAGCTATGCCTTAATTGCTCCTTTATATATTAAATAGTCATGGCACTTCTGGTGCCTAACTCTGGATCCAGATTATCATATAACGAGCAATTTGTAATGGCAATTGTGTTGTTGACAACTATAACCTTTTTGTAAAACTCCCATATCTGTAAAAAATAATGGCAATTTCTAAAACAACCAGATTCTAAACATTTCCCAAAGATATTTTGATCTGGTCGTTCCGCGTCCCTAGTATTACGTTTGTTTGGTGCACCTATAAGTCTTACCAGGGTTTTTCGTCATCTGGACGAACGTCTGCAGGACATAATTA